TTGCCATTGTTGCAGATGTCGTTGGTGTTTCATTCGATGACATTATCCAGTTGATGAATTCTACCTCTAAAAAAATTTGATTAAATTTTAAATTTTAACCAAAAATTTTTAACCTATTGCTCGATAAGCTTTGTGTATCGTAAGTTTTCTAACTTTCAAAAAAAAAATCATTTCCATACAAGAGAAACTATTCATGAACATTATAAACAAGTGAAAAACAAGTGCCAACAAGTACAGTTCTTCGGTCATTTGAGAGAAAGTTAGAAGCAAATACCAAGTATGTTTAGCGTCAGCAATTGAAAAATGCTCTAACGAATTTCAATTTGTACCTTTTCTCTATTTGAATAATAAGGTTATGACGATCACATTCTAAATTATGTTAAGAGATCTTTCAAAAGGTACATTTCGAAGGCTAATCTTCAAAAAAGTTAATGCTATCAGAAAAAAAAAGTTAATGCTATCAGTTAATGCTACTGCATACGCATCTCTTTTTGAAATCTGCTGTACAATAAAATGAATCTAGTTCGCTTAACAGGTATGGAATTAAAGATTCTATAAATGTCTTAAACTTTGTCAATAAGTTTAGAAACACTTCTGGACATTCAATGGTCAAAAAAATCAGTAATGGAAAATCATTGGAAAGCAGAAAAAACCATACAATTATCAGTAGTATCTTTTGAATCAAAAAATTTATCAACAATAGTAAAAACGAAAAAATTAAACAATAACGACAGGATATATTACAATATAAGAATAATTTCAAAATTAAAAAAATTTTACAATTTTTTGAATTTTACAGTTGCTCACATTATCTGAAATCTATTCAACGAAATCTAACCGAGTGAGGTAATAAAATAATTTTTATCACAAATTTTAAATTTTGTTGAATGACAAACTTTAATAAAAAGCAATTTCAATAAACAACTGGACAACAAATTTCAACAAAAGGCTTGATAAGAAAAACTTGCCATTCAAATTGAAGCAAAACTGCTTCCCTAGAATGACAAAGAAAAGATGAAAGAAACTGGCTTCAAGTAAGATACTGTCAGCGGAAAAAATTAAACGGATGACTAAAATTTACAATAGGAAAATGAAAATATCTTTCATCTATTTACTGCTTTTCATACTAATTTTGTGAAAGAATATTTAATGATATAACAGCGTCTATGTTATGTATAATGCTTAATTTTTCTTCATATTGAAGAAACAACCTCAGTTGCTTAAAATACCTCGCATAATTGGGTTAAATATCACGTATCAACAATAAGTTTTCAGCCAATTGTATTATTTGACGAAATAAGATATCAAAATAAGTCTGAACACAATTACAAAATTTTGCAGCCCACTTCTGTAAAATTTGCTGGATTTCTCTCTTGAATGACATTTCTAGTAGGAGATTCTGGAAAAAATCTGCATAGTGACATCACAAACACGAAGATAAAAATGTCTTCACTTTCAGTAGAGACTCTTTTAAGCATTCACTTGAAGATTCATTGGCATCCACGCCATATGTTTTCTCGATGGATGTAATAACTGGCTGAAGAGTTACTCGAATTTCACATTTCATCTAAAATTTATTTCAATTTAAAAAGACTGACTTGCGTCACAAAATCAATTCATAAAGCAAGAGTTTTGGAGTGACCAATATTATGATTAAGTGTTACAGTGAGTTTGACTGGATGTTTTATTGTCCTCAAAGCAATTTTAAAGTGAGAGTTGATTGCCTAAAACTGACAAAAGCATAAACTCTTCTCAATCAAAACAATGTCTCTTACCACATCGTTCTCAATGTTTTTCATTTCCGACAAAACTTTCTTGGACTCTTCCAACTTCATGACTGAATTTAAAACATCAACACATGAATCAACATTTTTATGCCAATTCTGAAAAAAAGAAACGTAATGTGTCGCTAATAAGTTGTAAATTGTTATAAAACGCTATAATATACAGAATTTACTTGTTTATTATAGCAAGTCCTAAAAGCACGCTCCAGCAACTTTACGTAAAATTCATGATCTTGCACGGATGACTCTGAATAAGGCCGTTTCAACTCCGCATAACAGTGCCAAATCTAAAATATGAAAAGGCTTCAAATTTTATTAAAGCTGTGGAAAAGCAAATAACTTGTTGAGAAACGTAATGTTTTTTTCATAATGCTATTAAGAAATGCCACTTAATCAAAACGTGAAAATTGATGATTGTTGATAAACAAAAACAACAAACTGTTGACGAAGAAGTTTGCTGCGAAGTTATTCTACCCAATAATTCACACATCTTATATATTAAAGGTTTCACAAATTTCCTGCTTCTCTGAAAGCAAATCACATGAAAAACCTTATCTATTCCCTCAAATGCATCATTCAGAAACGTGAAATAGTGATATCCTTCACATTATCTCTTCATTACAAATTTGATAAGTGAAATGAAAGATGCCTTTAATATGATAAAAACAATTGAAAATGAGAGATAATAAACAGACAATATCAGTAATAATGACCCAGAAAAATGAAATATATTGCTTAATAACTCTTGGATTTTATGCCGGTTTTAGAATTCTTCAGTCTTCGAATTCTTCAGAATTCTTCAGCATTAATTATCTAAACTCAAAGGGTTGATAAATTATAAAGATGTATAATTATGCCTAAATGTATATCCTGTTGGTAGTTTCTTTTGTCTTTCTTTTGTCTGCTGGTAGTTTTGTGTTTTACCCAGTTCTTTCTTTTAATTTGGAGAATTTCCTACTAGATTTTAAATATAAATCCCTACTCAAATAATAAAGTCCAAAATTCCTCATCATGACATAACCGACTTTGCAAACGAAGTATTTTACTGTACAGTAAAACGGACAGTGAGAAATAGCAGCATATCTTACTTCTCTTAGAGTGATTAATTTTTGTGTAAGCGCTTCAACTACGAGATCGTCTTTGTACTGTTTGTCCAAATCTAATATTGCGTGAAACGTAGAAATTGCTGATGAAATATCATGTGTACGTAAGCAAAGAAGCATATAGTTTTCTCGTAATTTAATATGTTCGAAATTCAGTTTCACAGCTTCCTAAAACGAAAATTAATAGCGAGTGGAAATGAAATAATACTTAAAGTTAATAAAAATATACCAAGATAATTTTATTTGATCTATCAAAATAACCACCAGAATAATTTCTGATTTATAAATGCCTGATTTATAAGATGGTTTCTATGAAGAGTTACTGCATAGGTAGAAACAAAATTAAAGAATACTAACGAGTACCTAAACATGAAATACAGCTCAGGAACTAGGAAGTAGGAAAATATCATCCTTAATAAACTCTGCTCAAAATTAATGGTGAATTTCTGAAACTAAACATTATTAGTGTTACTTTTATGTTAAACAGGTCAAGATGATCATGAAATGGCTAACCGAGCGCAAGGTTTGCACATTATTTCGAAATTTGGAAAAAAATTATAGAATACGGAAGATTCAAAGGAAAACCTGCAAAACAGCCTTAGCTCGTTCTGCATCATTTAATTTTTCATATACAGCAGCAAGATTATTCCACGCTTGGAAATGAGCAGGCTCATAGCGCACACATTCCCGATAGGCTTGTGCCGCTTCTCCCCATTTTTCGAGCTTCCACGCACAACAGCCAAAATTGAACCAGGCGGATGACTTAAACAAATTAACATCAAAGTATATATGTAATAAGTCAAAACTTTTTATTGTTCTAATGATGCTGAACTTGATTTTAAAATACTTTCTTTCAAGTAATGCAAAAAAATTAAACATACACTAATCGGTTGAAGTTCAAGGCTACGTTTCAAATGCTGATATGAAATATCATAATGCTTTTGCTGAAGCATAAGCAATCCTAACGATCGGTGAGCGCGAAATGAACGGCCATTCGAAGCCTTAACTTTAAAAATATGATTCTATAGTGATTATTCTTCCACTTCATTACATATGATTTATGGTCGTCCCGGAAACTACCATTTTTTCTAATGATGCCGTTAGCAGTGCTAGAGGAAAAGCGGTGCATCTTCGAAAGAATGATAACAATTTTCTTTCAATTTTTTTCTAAAAATTTCTTTGAATTGCCAAATCTCAATTCTAAACTTAAATAGAAATAGTAATATATTCATTACCTCAATCGCCTTTTTATATGCATTTGGATCATGAAGTATATCGCCTAAAAGACACCAGTAAGTTGAATTGTTCTCATCCTTAGCAAGTAGATCACGAACTAATCGTTCAGCCTTTTTTAGCTGACCAAGTGAACGATAACAATCAATAACACTATCCCAATTTTCTTGATTTTCGAATATTACCAAGGCTTCCTGCAAATCTGATATGGAAAAATGTTAAAAAAAAGGTTACAAATTATTACATAAAATAATCTAATGATCCGAGAACATTATATTCGATCTACTTATCAATACGTGATCCATTGTTTTGGCTACAACTAACTGCCGGTTGCCCTATTTATACTTTCGGGCAAAAATATCACATTATAACAGAAGAAATTCCACGTCTCAAAAGCTAAAAATGAAATTGATGGTACAGTGACAATTTTAAAATATACCAGCGAAAAGCATTAAAAAACGAACCGCTGTGCATCCGATAGAACGAAGAAGTCCAGCATGAACGAGATCAACATACCAAAATGGTTTCATCCCACTCGCTAGTAATAATTTTAAGCGTTTTCTTAAAGTGTCCTCATTCAGCTATAAAAAATAATTAGTCTGGAAAACATATTTTAAAGTGAAGAAGCAGGATTATTTTTAAAGAAATACATAATGCAGAACCGATCTTCTTTGACTTGGATAGTACTTTAATCACATTTTTTTATAATAGCAGCTAAAATTTTCAATGATAATGAAGTCGTTAGGATTTGACTTGCAACTCAAATATTTATATTTAAATTATCTAAATCTGAAACCTAGCAAACCTCTTTGTTTTCTGCACCATTCATCAATTTTGACAATGATTCCATTTGCATACATGCGCGTTCCACTCGGCGCATGCTAATCTTTTCAAATTCTGAACGCTGCAATAAAGCACTAGCCTGCACCGCCCAATTCCTACGCTGGGCAATTATCTGCAAAAAGCATTCGTGTCAAAAAAATCAAATACAGAAATAACAAAAATTGACAGAGTAAGAAACCAGTACTTAGATTTGAATCAATTTTAAGGTTTTCATTATTTTTAAATTTCACCCACAGAAAAAGAATTCATAAGCTAATAAGGAATTCAGGATCCAACAATGAATGATAAAACCAAAAAATAAAGCGAAAAACAAAATACTTCGTCTAGATAGGAGCAACATTTTTCAATTACTAAGTCCTCAGTGCTCTGAGTTTTCCGTTCGAGCACGCCAGAAGCTAGCATACATGCCAAACTTAGACCAGAAAGCTTAGCACAACTGGTTGAACCATCTACTTCAGCAACGCATACATTTTCTAATAATGAGTCATCATGAAGCAAAACATTCAGCGGCAAAGTGCAGTCATTTTCCGATGCGTCATCGTCCTCGAAGTTATCACAACTTGTAACCTTAATCATATTTCAGCAGGAATAAAAACCAAACAAACAAATACATAACCCTCCTACTTACACAACCTTTCTACTAAAAAATTGACGAAAGAAGTTCCAACTCAATTAAAATTAGTTCCAATTCAAATACCTACATTTAGAACTTCTAAAGATGGAACTTACTCTGGCGACAAGTTGAGGTATAAATTTTTCTTGAAATCTAGTACGTTTGCCCAAAACTCCGACTACTTTGATTTCGAGACCAATTGTGGTTAAAGCGTCATTTAAATAAATTTCAGCTCTACGGATTTGATCGTACAACAGATGAGCATACATTCTTTCAAGCAATGCTTCAGTAACTGCTGCTACAGAAGCACAGTTGATTCGCAAATCTTCCTAAAAATTACAATTTATTTACTGTTATAGAGTGATATAACCTCCTGAACTTCTATCCATTAAAAAAATTAAACAATTTATAATTTAACAAACCCAAATGATAGCACAGTAAAAAGAAAAGAGCTTTTACCAAAGCATTCAGAATGTTCCTCAGTTCAACAGCAGGCTCTTTTAGTAGATCTTGCCACAATAACAACAAACGACATGTTAGAGAGCTTTTCATGAAACTGTTTTCTATTCGAGAACAGCAATCGATCAGTATCGCTTTCGCTAACCAGAGGCATAATTTTGAACTACAAGCAATAAGATTCAATTCAAGAATATCTTTTTCTAAATACTTCTATACTTGATTATCAAGAGGTATAGCATAAAATGGACTAGTTACTCAGAGACCAGAAGAGATTAAAAATAAAACTGAAACATTTTAGATGTCACCAAATGATATTATTTAAACAAAAATTATTAGGAAAAAGAAATCAGTATTCGATTACGGAGTTTTCATTACATTAGAATGCAATCATACCGAGCAAATTTATATGAAGAATTATAACCGAACGATAAATCTTTGTCAATTTCCTCTTCCGCCACATATTTTCCACAAATTGGTTTTTCTAAACACAACGAAGTTGATAAGAATTAAATTTCGGTTCTACTGGACTGGGTTAAAGTACATTTGAAGATGAAAAATATTAACACAAAAAGTGATGGTAAAACTCGTCAACAGATTATTATTAGGAAATCTTATGACAACTGCATGCATTATTTAAGTCAAATTTATAACAACTATCTTATAACCTATAAACGTACATTTTATTTGAGTCAAATTTCCTTATAGCATTTATAATCATTCTCTGGAAGCCTTACTTATACAGCACTTGCAGAAGTTTCACTTCACCAAAATCTTCCAAAAACACAGCAGTAAGACTTATTTTTCTATCTTCTAGATCTCTTATATCTAATATCTATACTTCTTGTATATGATGTGAAATACAACTGCAGATGTTATGAGTTAGAATCAGAGATAAGTATAGGTTAACTTATGATCGGTTTTTTTCCAGAAAGACGGATAGTATGGAAAAAAACTATTTAAGAATTGGAGAATTTTTAACAAATACTTTTATTGTATCGTAACGAAAGCCTTAAGTATTTGT